GATCACATGATTAGATCTTTGATGATAAATATATTTAATAGTAATGTGAAAAAAGAAATAATTTATTTGTTAGTTAAAGTAGTCAAAGAGTTTAAACCGCTTCTGTAGAACATTTTACCAGGAGGTATGAAAATCCTATTATTTGTACGGTTCTTTCATTCATCTAATTCCATTTATTCATCAAGTTACCATTCAATGTATCCCAGAGATCTTTACTGAGCACCTATCATGTTCTTGACCCTGAGGTAGCAAAGATAAATATTGCATTTCGCTGACCATGATAGGTCAAATTGTAAGGCATGTAAGGTAGGTACCGGAAGGAAGCAACTGAAGAATTATATATGATACAATAAGTTTAAGTTATGTACAAAACATTATGGTGCCCCAAGGAATGAGGGACAGATTGCCTTGTGTGAAGGCCAAGGATAACATTATAAAAAGGAATTTGATTTGGTTCTTTTTTTTTTTTAAATAATATTTTATTGTGTTTTTCGTAAAAGTTTACACGCATATTAGATTCCCATTTGACAATTTCTACACAAGTTGTTCAGTGACATTAATTACGTTTTTCACGATGTGTCAACATTCTTATTAATTGCATTGTGGTTGTTCCATTTCCTGTATTCTAGTTTCCCTGCCTCCCCACCACCCCGTCTTCTCATCTTTGCTTTAGAGTAATTTTTGACCTTTTGATATCATATAGATGGTTTTTTCATGAAGCCCCATACTCATGCATAATATTCTGTACTTTGTGTGCCAATCTGTTATTTCACTAAAAGTTGACCTCAGGGATAGTTTTGGTTCAAGGTTTAAAGAGTATCTCAGGGTGATAGTCTCAGGGGATCCTTCAGTCTCAACTGGTCCAGTAAGTCTGGACTTTTTAAGAATTTGAATTCTGTTCCACTGTTTTCTCCGATTCTATCCAGGTCAATTTATTGTGGCCCTGATTAGAGCAGTTGGTAGTGGTAGTCAGGCACCATCTAGTTGTTCTGGTCTCAGGGTAGATGAGCCTGTGGCTTGTGTAGGCTATTAGCCCTGTAGAATAGTTTCTTTTCTGAGACTTTGGTTTCCTTCTTTCTTTTTTGCTCCTAACGAGTAGAGACCAATAGTTTTATCTTAGATGGCCGCTCTCTAGGTTTTAAGACCTCAAATACTACCCACCTCACTAGAATGCAGAATGTGAACTTTGTAGTACCGATTGACTTAGTTGTCCTATGAGACTAAGGACCTATGCCTTCAAACCCAAAAAAACCATTTTCTCAAGATGTTTGGTTATGTCTGAGAAGTATCTGTAAATGTGTCCTCTATGAATATATATGTGTGTACACACATATCTGTATGTACACATACATATAGATACTTCTACCTGTCCACACGTATGTACTCACCTGTAACTACCTGCACACGTATATGCCTCTACAACTACATATGTGACCATACATTCATTTTTTGGTGATTGTTAGAGTTGTCAAATTATATATGTCATATTCTTGAGCACAAACATAATATGGATCTTTAGGATGAATAAGGATTCTCAAGTGCACTGCCGATAGAAAAATAAACAAATATGTGAAAATTCACCAAAGGAGAAACAAATAGCCTGTAAATACATGGAACATGCCCAGCCTCAAAAATTATCAGGGAAATGCAATCTAAAACCAAAGTGAGAGATATTATTTCATATCCATCAAAATAATAAAATTTTTTAAAAGTATGAGAATATTTAGTGTTGGAAAAAATGTGGAACAATAGGAATTCTCATTTGTTGTTATTAGTGTAAAATTATGTAAGTGCTTTAGAGAGTAACTTGACAATATTTGATGAAGTTAAAATTAAGCATACTTAGTTACCCTTTTATTAAACTAGTCCAGTATTAAACTCTCAACATGTGTATAAAGAGACATGTATGTGGATGACAGTTGTTGCATAGTTTGTAATAATAAAAATTGGGAATGCCCTAAGTATCCAGCAACGGAAGAAAGTATCAATGTTGTTGTAGAATATTCATAATTATATACATATTGCATTAGGAATAATATGCAGAGGTGAAATGATGGAACAAATAGCAACATGGATAATCTTACCTGAGTATATCCCACCTGAATTTACAGAGTGTCTCAAGAAAAGATTTGACACATTGAACACTAATGACTGAAGACCAGATGAGTTGTGGGATGATATCAAGGACATAATACATGAAGAAAGAAAAAGGTCATTAAAAAGATAGGAAAGAAAGAAAAGACCAAAATGGATGCCAGAAAAGACTCTCAAACTTACTCTTGAACAGTAGCTAAAGTGAATGGAAGTAATGAAGAAGTAAAAGAGCTGAACAGAAGATTTCAAAGGGCAGCTTGAGAAGACAAAGTAAAATATTAACAATGAACTGTGAAAAGACCTGGACATAGAAAACCAAAAGGGAAGAATACAGTTGGTATTTCTCAAGCTGAAAGAACTGAAGAAAAAATTCAAGCCTTGAGTTGCAATACTGAAGGATTCTACATGCAAAATATTGAACGACGCAGGAAGCATCAAAAGAAGATGGAAGGAATACACAGAGTCACACTATCAGAAAGAATTGGTTGATGTTCAAACATCTCAGGAGATAATATAGGATCAAGAACCAATGGTACTGAAGGAAAAATCCAAGCTGCATTGAAGGCATTGGCAAAAAACAAGGCTTCAGGAATTGACAGAATACCAATTAAGATGTTTCAACAAACAGATGCTAGGCTGGAAGCACTCACTCGTCTATGGCCAAGAAATTTGGAAAACTGCTACCTGGCCAACCAACTGGAAGACATCTATATTTGTGTCCATTCCAAAGAAAGGTGATCCAACAGAATGTGGAAATTATTGAACAATATCATTAATATCACACACAAGGAAAATTTTGCTGAAGATCATTCAAAAACAGTTGCAGCAGTACATAGATAGGGAATTGCCAGAAATTCAAACCGGATTCAGAAGAGGATGTGGAATGAGGGATGTTGTTGCTGATATCAGACAGATCTTGGCTGAAAGCAGAAAATCCCAGAAAGATATTTACTTGTATTTTATTGACTATTATTGACAAAGGCATTTGACCGTGTGGACATTGCAAAGAATGGGAATTCCAGAACACTTCATTGTGCTCATGAGAAACCTGTACATAGACCAAGAAACAGTCATTCGAATAGAACAAAGGGGTACTTTGTGGTTTAAAATCAGGAAAGGTGGCATCAGCGTAGTATCCTTTCATTTATTGAATAAGTATACTTATTCAATCTGTATACTGAGCAAATAATTCAAGAAGCTGAGCTACATGAAGAAGAACATAGCATCAGGATTGGAGGAAGGCTCATTAACAACCTGCAATATGCAGATGACTTGCTGGAAGTGAAGAGGACCTGAAGAACTTACTGATGAAAATCAAAGATGACAGCCTTCAATATGGATTACACTTAAACATAAAGAAAACAAAAATCCTCACAGCTGGACCAATAAGCAACATCATGATAAACAGGAAAGTATTGAAGTTGTCAAGGATTTAATTTTACTCGGATCCAGAATCACTGTTCATGGAAGCAGCAGTCAAGAAATCAAATGATACATTGCACTGGGCAAATCTGCTGCAGAAGACCTCTTTAAAGTGTTGAAAAGCAAAGACGTCATGTTGAAGACTAAGGTGCACCTGACCCAAGCCATGGTGTTTTCAGTCGCCTCATATGCATGTGAAAGCTGAACAGTGAATAAGGAAGATTGAAGAAGAATTGATTCCTTTGGATTACAATGTTGGCAAAGAATATGATATACCACAGACTGCCAGAAGAACAAACAGATCTGTCTTGGAAGGAGTATAGCCAGAACGCCCCTTAGAAGGGAGGATGAGGAGACTTGGTCTCACGTACTTTGGCCATGTTATCAGGAAGGACCAATCCCTGGAGAAGGACATCATGCTTGGTAAGGTAGAGGATCAACGATAAATGAGATAGATTGACACGGTGTCTGCAACAATAGTCTGCAAACATTGTGAGGATGGTGCACGACCTGGCAGTGTTTTGTTCTGTTGTGCATAGGGTCATTATTACTCAGAACCAACTGGATGGCACCTAACAACAATAACAATGTTAAATAAATTTAAAAAAAGTACCAGTAGCATACATTATACTTTTGAAAGTAAAGAATTGCTGAACAACCTTGTATATGTATTTTTAGTGAGGTATACATATATGTTTATATCTCGAAACGAGAGCCCTAGTGATGCTGTGATTAAGTGCTTGTCTGCTAACTGAAAGGTCGGTGGTTCAACCCCACCACCTGCTCTGAGGGAGAAAGATGTGGCAGTCTGCATCTGTAATGATTACAGGTTTGGAATCCCTATGGGGCAGTTCTACTCTGTCCTATAAGGTTGCTGTGAATTGGAATTTACTTGACTACTATGAGTTTGTTTATTTTTTTTGTTGTTATATTTTGAAAAAATTGAAAGCCTTACATATGAATGATAAACACAGAATTGATGAGAGTGGTTACCTCTCATATAGAGGGAGGAGAACCAAGCAGGGAGGAAAACACACCAGCTCCTATTATTTTGAAATATTTTACTTCTTATTCTCAGTGGAGGGTATAGGGGTGTTCTCTACAATTATATATCTGAAAAATACCACAGTAAATTTAAAAACATAGGTTTTAAAATGGTTAAATATAATTTGAGGTCAAATCTAATGAACAAGTTAGTGAAGACTTTTTGGAAAAGAAATGATTAAAAAAGAGGCATGACAGTAAAGATTTTTGTTTTGCATGTTTCTTGTAAACTGGCTCCAAAACATTTCTCCAAGAGTAGCTTTGTAATATTTTGAGAAGTAGCTACATGGTTGTTATTTCTGCGTGTAGTTTCCCAGGGTCACGACTTTGAAGAGGACAATGCACACAGGGAATTATAAGATGCACATAGGGGCTTTCTCTGAACAGACATTCGTATTTGACTAGCAGCCTCATATGAGAACTATTTCATTTGTCACTAGGCACTAGATGAACCAGCCAAGACTGAAAGGGTCTCCAAGGACAACACGTTACACTCACCTTTGGAGGTAATGGCTTTAGATCATCCCTGCTTTTGGTGTGCAATCCTGAAACGCATTGCTAACCCAGTACCTGGTTTCAATTTTTCCAGTTGTGTAACCCTGCACAGCTCAGGCAGCAAACTGAAGAGCTCTGTGCTACCATTGATAAGGTCTTACAGGATTCCTTGTCTATGGTAATGCCTTAGACTAGAACGTGCAATTCAATACTTTGCTTCGCTTCTCTTTCTCTCTCTCTTCTTTAGCAGACGCATCACAAGCTTGTCCTTTTTCTTTTTTCAGCATTCTTCTGAGTCTCCTTCAAGTTCCCCACAGATGTTGTTGGGTTCTGATGCAATCAAAGTACGTGCACATTTAATATAATTTACTGAACTATAAGATTTACTAGACCAGTGATTTTTAAACTTCAGGTCAAAGCCAATAGTGAACCAAGATATTAATGTAGTGGCTAGCGATCAGCATTTTATAAACAGAATAATAAGAACATAAAATATCCTGTCTAAGAGTAGGTACTGTTGTATGACATTTGTTTCAATTTTTTTACGCATACATTATAGGAATGTGTGTAGAGAGTTGCAGTGTAAAATCTATTTCTTACTGTGGGTCAAGTTTAAAAAAGTTTAAAAGCCAATGATATACTATGTTGTATGTAAGCATTATAAGAAGCTTTCTCAAACTGCATATAGAATTTGTGGCTTATTCCTATCTCAAACCATTGCTCATCTCAAGCCGTTACTTGTGTAACTCATAGAGCCATCTGGAAGTGTAGAAGTGCAAAATGAAGTAGACTAAAGTAGTATCAGTCTAAGAGGTTTTACACAGATGTTATTTCTGAAATTATTTTTTCTTTTGGTTGACTGAATTTTTTCCTTTTTCTTTGACTCAGATGGACAGAAAATTCTGAATATTCTAGATTTGTTAGAGTATTACTAAAGTATTAATGGTTGTTATTGAATATCTAAATGTTTTCTTTTTATTATGTAGCCGTTTTTATTTATTGGGATAAAATACTACATTATCTTCAAAGTATTTTTTGCAAATAGTGTAGATCTACTCATCCAAATTTCAACATGCTTGTATTTTTTCCCTTAGTGATAATTACTAGTTTTTTTTCTCAGCCTTATTGTTGGTCTTGGAATTAGTAGGGGTACTTTTCTTCTTTTTTTTATTGTGCATTAGGTGAAAGTTTACAGAGCAAATTAGTTTCCCATTCGATAGTTTGTACATAAAGTGTTCCATGACACTGGTTTCATTCCCCACAATGTGTCAGCACTCTCCCCACTTCTGTCCTAGGCTCCCTGTTTCCTTTCATCCTACTTTTCTACCCCTTTCTGCCTTCTCAGCTTTGCTTTTGGGCAAATGTTGCCATTTTGATCTCATGTGATTGATTGTTCTAAGGGACATGTTCCTCTCCGGTGTTATTGTTTACTTCATGGGTAGAAATACTTTTTGTATGTGCTTTTTTCATGCAACTTGTTTTTTAACACACACACATATACACACATAATTTCTTAGTAATTTTGGAATTTAAATCTGAATTTTATGATTGTGCTTTTTGTTGATCTCTTTTTTATTAAAATTCTTGTCTCTCACGTATTCATACCTTCCTCCTAGATACATTTTTCTTCTTGTTGGCATCTTGCTAAAAATTGTATTCAGCAAAGTCTTTCTGTGTAGATTCTATCTCCTTTTGTCCCAGAGAATATCTTTATTTTGCCCTTTCACTTAAATTACAGTTTGGATGGACATAAAATGATAGGTCTTTTTCATGCAACACTTTTTTTTCCTAAATTCTTTCTCTTCAACAAAATACTTGTAAAGTATTTTGTCAGTATGATATTTATTCCTTTGTTACAGTGTTATAATTTACAGAGTGGCTCTGCAAGCCTTTAGAATTTTATCTATCTTTGATGTTACTTATTTTTCCTGTAATGTACCTGAAAGTGCCTTTTTTCCTCCCTTACCTATCTCGATTTGTACTGTCTGTGACCTTTCATTTGAAGTCTTCAATCTTTTTTTCCGCTTACATTTTGGATAATTTTTCATCATTATTTCTTCAAGTGTTTGTTTCTTTCTGGGACTCCAATAATACTGATTTTGTCACTTTTACTTCTGTATTACATATCTGTTAACCTTTGTATTTTTCTTCAACTTATCAGTTCTTAAATTCCTTTAGGAGAATTCCTTGATCTGATATTACTGTTTAAGAATTTGTTTGGTATCCGTTCTGTTCTTCAATTCCTATGTTAACTTCTTTACTGTAGCTTATATAGTTTTTTTTTTTTTAAAGTTAGATTTATGGATGTGTACTTTACCTACAGCAAAATTCACTCTTTTTAGTGTACAGCTCTATGAGTTTTGACAAAAGCAAACAGTTGGGTAAACCACCACTGCATTCAAGATATAAACCATTTCCATCAACTGAAAAAGTTCTTCTGTGCTCCTTTGTAGTATATCCCTTCCTCCAACTCAAGTGCTGGACTCCACTGATCTGTTTTGTGTCCCTAGACTTTTGCCTTTTCAAAGATGTCATACAAACATAATCATACAGTATGTGATCTTTTGAGTTTTGCTTTTTATACTAAATAGGAGGCATACGAGGTTCATCTATATTGTTGTATGTATCCAGAGTTCATTTCTTTTTATTGCTGAGTAGTAGTCCATTGTATGGACGTGCCATTGCCATAATTTATTTGCCTATCAACCAGTTGATGGGCAATTGGATTATTTCAAGTTTGGAGTTATTACTAATACAGCTGTTAAGAACATTTTAAAATAAGACTTTGTATGAACATATGCTGTCATTTTACCTAGGAGTGGGATGGTTGAACCATATATGATCTTGAACTATTTCTTATTTTTGATGTGGTTGTAAATGGTGTTGATTTTTTAAATGTCAAGTTCTGATTGTCTATTGATAGTATATAAATATAATTAACTTATTGTACTGATTTTGTACTTATAGCCTTAATAAACTCATTACTTCTAGTAGCTTTTTAAGAATATTCTATCAGATTCTCTATAGTGACAGTGATCATGTTGTCTGTGAATAAAGACAGTTTTACTTCTTCCATTCTCATCTGAATTCTTGTTATTTATTTTTCTTGCCTGATTGCACTGGCTGGAACTACCAGTACAATGCTGAATATAAGTGCTAAAAGCAGACATCTTTGTCTTGTTCCTGATTATAGGAAGAAAGCTTTCAGTATTAAGTATGATGCTAGCTATAGGTATTTCATAGATGCTTTTTATCTTTTTGATGAAGTTTATTTTTACCTCTAGATTTATGAGTTTTTTTACATTTTAAATTAAGAATAGATGTGTGTGTATGTATGTATATACTTATATATATACACATACACACGTATATCACACTGTAGATACCCAACAAATATTTGCTGAATAATTGAATTAAAGAAATAATATCTCATCTTAGAAAGTGTGAAAGTGGGACTGCAAAAGAAAAATTTCAGGATTACCAGACAGGATAGAGTGTCCATTCTAAGCTGATAATCATAAATTTAAAGTGAAATCGTTAGCTGGATGAGTGAATTTCCCAGCTATGTGGAATGCTTCTTAGGTGCAAGTATAGAGTAAATGGATGGAAAGGTCCATTCAGGGTTGATTTTTTTTTTTTTTTTTTTGCAGTTGAGTTTGTTACATTATAGAGAGAGGCAAAAAAAAAAAAAATTGAAGGTATTCAAATAAGTGAGAACATGAAGTCTATGAAAGTTAAGAGATAACAAAACCAGAAGGGAGCTGGTGAAGGTCAATGGTTTGGAAATCCCAATGAGGCTGAAGAAATGCTGCATGTTACAGCGGAAGAGATGGCTAGATTATAAATGACTGCAGTTCTATCTCGGGCACATGCTTTCTCTCTCTTTCTTGGATCTCTCACTTTGTTGTGGGCAGCCTTACGGTGAGGCTAGTGTAGGAAGCAACAGAGGCCTCAGTCTAGCTGGGAACTGAATCTTATAAACAATCATGTGAGTGAACTTGCAGTGGATTCTCCAGCCCCAGCTGAGCCCTGAGATGACTGTAGTGCCAGGTCTCCAGATGACATCTGGACTGCAAACTCATGAGAGACTCTGAGCCAGAACCATCTATGCTAAGCCACTTCTGGATTCCTGATTCTCAGCAATGGTGAAATAATAAGTGTCTGGTGTTTTAAGCTGCTAAAAGAAAAAAAAAAAAAAAAAGGAGGAAATGTTACATGTGGGTACTGAAGAAATGAAGCTGGTAGATAAGAAGTAGAGTTCTATGAGTAAGATGTTTGAAATAGACATTTCAGATGTTTTGCATTTTATTGATGAAAGCAAAGTCTAGGAACAGCCATGGGAGTGGATGATTGAAGTGGTGTGGACAAGAAAATCTTTGGAGTTGAGCAGCTCAAGGAATTGAGAGGATAGAGACTTCTGTGTGAATTTTAATGTTACCAAAAGTCATGAAAGGAATAGAATGAAGGAACAATTGTGATCCATGAGTTAACATCATCAATAAATAAAGGAAAATTGTCAGGAAGCTGATCAATAGCAGTAATAAAAGAAAATGAAAGTGGTAGTTCAATGAAATGATTTTCAAAGGTATGGAGGATTTTATAGAAAAAAGGGAGTAATGGCTAGAAAATCTCAATAGGAAAAACATGAACACTTACGCAAGAAGTTGAATCCTTTAGTATTTTCTTTATTACTTATGAGTAAAATTATTTTTATTTTCATACAGATGCCTACAACTCTTCCAAGAGCAGCTGGTCGAGAAACCAAATATGTAAGTACCATTACTGTTATACATACTGCTTTTTTAATGGATACATGTATGTTTTGGAGGGAACTCAATTATATAGTTATTTAACTTGAATTAACTGATTTTTTTCATAAGTGGAAAGGGGTAGGATGCTATGATTGGCCTAGGTTTGGAAAATTAGGTAAAGACGAGGATGACGTATTAGGTAAGTCTACTCAATAAATTCCTTAAGTGAGGTTTACTTTGATTTGTTTTGCTAAATTAAACAAAACTCCAGCTTATGCTTTCTGCCTTTCTAATTGCCAAAGCTTAGATGATATTTTCATTTTTGTTATGGTTTATTGTGCTTATTATAAGAACAGTCAACTCATATATTTTGAAATTAAGATTTGTCCATTTCAAACAGGACTTCCAGTTTAGTTGACTTTGTCTACTTTGTCTTTTCCACATTTAAATTATTAGCAAGTGGGCCAATTTCCACTCATGAGCACCAAATAATTATGGGAAGCTGGCTATACTAGGAATTGTCTTAGACACACACACACACATACACACATATGCACACACATCCTAACCTGCTCTTCATTCACCTAATAACATCATTGCCAGTCATGTAGTGAATTTATGCTTGTGACTGACATATTCTAGTAGAAATGACTTTGTCTCATAAGCAAATGTTCAGTTTTCAGTGTGAAACAAACCAATAAACTTTTCCTTTTAAATTAAGCATTATATTTCCTAGTATGTCATTTTGGTCATTGTCATCAAAACTAAATACTATTACATGTATATTTTGTGACATGTCAGTATTGCAGTTTTTACATTTTTGCCTTCATTTGAATCTCCTTAAGGCAGATAATAAACCAGGTTTAATTACTGAGTTCTATCACTTGAGGAAATGATTAGACAACATGAATAGGAACACTACTTAGAACAGTTCTTAGAACCTATTTGAAATAATACTTAAAAGAGTGGAGGCTTTAAGTAGGCTAGACTCAAGTTTAAATCACAGCACTTCTGCTTTCTAACTCTTGAGTCTGGAAAAATCACTTAGCCACTCTGTGCTTTAGTTTTCTTGCTTATAAATTTGGGAGTATTAATAACCTTCTCACTGGGTTGCTGTAAAATTTCTATGAGATAATGTATGAAAAGCCCTTACCGTCATCTGTGACACGGGAATTCTTTAATAAATCATAGTCATTCACTTTCTTTTCCTTCTTTTTTTCCTTCACTTTTGCCTTCATCCACTCCCCCTCCCTTCTCCTTTTATCTGTTTTTGGAAGACTAGAAGCACCACTATTTACTGAATTTCTTGATTCTTCATCTGGGTACAGAAAAAAAAAAAAAAAAAGACAGTTTCCTAAAGTTGTTTTTATCCCTTTGTGGTAAATATATTTCACAAGAGCCAATCCCCCCCACCTCAAAAGTAACGAGAATTTTTTTCTCCTACCTTCCTTTCTCATCTTGTCCTACCTTCCACCAAATCACCTCTGATTAGGTGTGCATGGCTGATGCCTCCACCTACATCACCTACATCTCCCACCCCTGGGTGATTAATTTGATAGAGATTGGAGTGATTTTAGAGGTGCTGCTTAAAACTCCATAATTAGAAGTTATTTCAAGTTATTCTTTGTTTTCTATCAGTTACCAGACTTGATTAAAGTAGGTTAACTCCCCTCCACCCATAACTCTGTGAGCGCATCAAAGTCATTTAAACTGAACACCGAATCATCAAACAGGTTCAGTACAGACTAGAACAAACATAAACTCTGATTCAGATATTATTCTAGACCTTGATTAAATTTGGTTTCTTGAGTGAGAAGCTTTTTTTTTTTTTTTTTTTTTTTACTTTCTTGCTACATGACATTTGAATTGTTATTTGTGACACCTCAAATTTGTCCATATCGTTTGGAAGACTTGAAGGGATAATTGGACAATAGAAGGTGAAAAACCAGTTCCTTGCTGCCAGCTCATGGATCAGTCACTCTTGTAAATATCTTGCTGCAGTTATTAAATTTGCTAAGTTCTGTCTGATACATTTAGTTAGAGGAAAAAATGAAAGTTTAGGGCAGAATTTCTCTTCAGCTTTATGCTAGATTTTATATGAATAATCTGTCTTAAATACATTAGGTTATAACTTTTCTTAAAAGAATGACATAATATTTTTCTTCTAGAAATTCTAACATTCATACTGGCTCCACTATGGGATGCCTCGCATTGTGGGCTGAGTAGTGTTCTCTTAATTAATTAATCAGTCTCTCATTATATTCTCCCCTCCTCTCCCACAAACACTCAAAAACAAGTCTGAGAAACCCATGGATATTGCAGTTTCTCACCATTTCTCTTCAAAACTTTCAAGAAACTAGGCATCTTTGCAGCATATACCTGCTGGGACTCCAAGTGCAGAGATTCTTGGATTAGATTCAAAAGCAGGGATCATGCAGTTTACCAACTCCTGCTCCGCAGAGGAGGCTGAACAAAGGGAAGACAAATTAGAGTCAAGAGAAGAACAGTGTTGTTACACGTGAGGATCCCCCCTACAAATTAGCATTGCCTACCCCAAATCCCTATTTTGGGTCCTTTTTAAAAGCATAGTGTATATTCTATTGATTGTGATTAGTGGGAAGACTGACTAGTATTATCTAGGTCTACTATTCAACTTTTCACTTTTGTTCTTTGATTCAACAAATAATTAAGTGTCTGCCCTGTACCTGTCACTGAGGAGTTACTGGGGTGAGAATGGTAAAGACAAAGGCAAGGGTATATTCAGGATAGTAAACAATTAGACAGTGAAACAAGCAAAATACTTTTTTTGTAGAAATTAGAGGAGAGCTGGCCAAAGAACTGTTGTTGTTGTTAGGTGCCATCGAGTCGGTGCTGACTCATAGGGACCCTACGCACAACAGAACGAAACACTGCCCAGTCCTGTGCCATCCTCACAATCGTTGTTATGCTTGAGCCCATTGTTGCAGCCGCTGTGTCAATCCATCTCTTTGAGGATCTTCCTCTTTTTCGCTGGCTGTATACTTTACTAAGCATGATGTCTTTCTCCAGGGACGGATCCCCCCTGATAACTTGTCCAAAGCATATAAAATGTGGTCTCGCCATCTTTGCTTCTAAGGAGCATTCTGGCTACACTTCTTCCAAGTTAGATTGTTCGTTCTTTTGGCAGTCCATGGTATATTCGATATTCTTCTCCAACACCACAATTCAAAGGTGTCAGTTTTTCTGTGGTCTTCCTTATTCATTGTCCAGCTTTCACATGCATATAATACGATTGAAAATACCATGGTTTGGGTCAGGTGCACCTTAGTCTTCAAGGTGACATCTTTGCTCTTCAATACTTTAAAGAGGTTGTTTGCAGCAGATTTGCTTAATGCAATGCATCTTTTGATTTCTTGACTGCTGCTTCCATGGGTGTTGATTGTGGATCCAAGTAAAATTAAATCCTTGACAACTTCAATCTTTTCTCCGTTTATCATGATGTTGCTTTTTAGTCCAGTTGTGAGGATTTTTGTTTTCTTTATGTTGAGGTATAATCCATACTGAAGGCTGTGGTCTTTGATCTTCATCAGTTAAGTGCTTCAAGTCCTCTTCACTTTCAGCAAGCAAGGTTGTGTCATCTGCATAACACAGGTTGTTAATGAGTCTCCCTCCAATACTGATGCCCCGTTCTTCTTCATATAGTCCAGCTGGTTGGTATTAAAACAAACTTACAAAGTTGCTACTTTTGATATATTAGAATGCTCATAGGATTTGCAATTTTCCTGGGATGATTATAACAGTTCAATAACATAATGAGAAATAGTATCGCTAATTCCTTTTTATGGGGACTTTGGTCAAAGGTTGATTTTCTCCATAAAAAAGTAAAAATCAAAAAGCTAGAAACAGAAGTACCGTAAGATCCAGCAATCCCACTCCTTGGAATATATCCTAGAGGAATAAGAGCCTTCACATGAATAGACATATGCACACCCATATTCACTGCAGCACTGTTCACAATAGCAAAAAGATGAAAACAACATAGGTGCCCATCAACAGACGAATGGATAAACAAATCATGGTACATACACACAATGGAATACTACACAATGATAAAGAATAATGATGAATCTGGGAAACATCTCACAACATGGATGAATCTGGAGGGCATTATTCTAAGTGAAATTAGTCAGTTGCAAAAGGACAAATATTGTATAAGACCACTATTATAAGAACTCAAGAAAAGGTTTAAACACAGAAGAAAACATTCTTTGATGGTTATGAGGGTGAGGAGGGAGGGAGAGGGGAATTCACTAACTAAAAAGTAGACAAGAATCATCTTGGGTGAAGGGAAGGACAACACACAATACAGGGTAAGTCAACACAACTAGATTAATCCAAAAGCTAAGAAGTTTCCCGAATACAACCAAACACTTCGAGGGACCGAGTAGCTGGGGCTGGGGTCTGGGTACCATAGTTTTGGGGGGCATCTAGGTCAATTGACATAACAGTGTATTAAGAAAGTGTTCTGCATGCCACTTTGGTGAGTGGCATCTGATGTCTTAAAAGCTTGCGAGCGGCCATCTAAGATGCATCAATTGGTCCCAACCCACTTGGAGCAAAGGAGAATGAAGAATACCAAAGATACAAGGAAAATATTAGCCCAAGAGACAAAAGAGCCACATAAACCAGAGACTCCATCAGCCTGAGACCAGAAGAACTAGATGGTGCTGGGATACCACCAATGACCACCTTGACAGGGAACACAACAGAGAGTGCCTGATGGAGCTGGAGAAAAGTGTGGAGCAGAACTCAAATTCACTTAAAAAGACCAGATTTAATGGTCTAACTGAGACTGGAGGAACTCCCGAAGCCATGGCTCCAGGACGCTCTGTTAACCCAGATCTAAAACCTTTCCCAATCCCACTCTTCAGACAAAGATTAGACTGGACTATAAAACATAAAATGATACTCATGAAGAGTGTGCTTCTTAGTTCAAGCAGATACACGAGACCAAATGGATGGCTCCTGTCCAGAGGCAG